GTAAGGGACGGAGGAGGAGCGGGGGCTTGGCGGGGGTGGGGGGGGGGGATGGTGCGGGGGGGGAGGGTTGGGCGTGGGTGGGGGTGAGTGTGTGGGGGGGGGCCGGGGGGGGAGGGTGCGGGCGGAGGAGGAGTGAGCGGGAGGGGGGGCTAGGGGGGGGGGGGGTGGTGGGGGCGGGGGGTGGGTAGGAGGGGGAGGGGGGTGGGTAGTGGGGGAGAGGGGAGGGGTCCCGCCGGGGGCGGGCTGGGGCTGCCCTAGGGGAAGGCGGGTGTGAGAGACGGAGGTTTGTGGCTATTCTCCAGTGAGTCCTTCCTTCTCATTAGGTGGCCAAAGGATTTGAGTTTCAACTTCAGGATCTGGCCTTCTAAAGAGCAGTCGGGGTTGATCTCTTCTAGGACTGACCGGTTTGAACGCCTTGCAGTCCAAGGGACTCGCAGGAGTCTTCTCCAGCACCATAGTTCAAAGGCCTCAATTCTTTTGCGCTCAGCCTTTCTTATGGTCCAACTTTCACAGCCATACATTGCAATGGGGAAAACCATGGCCTGGACTATACGCACTTTTGTTGGCAGGGTGATGTCTCTGCTTTTTAGTATGCTGTCTAGATTTGCCATAGCTTTCCTCCCCAGGAGCAAGCGTCTTTTAATTTCTTGGCTGCAGTCCCCATGTGAGGTGATCTTTGAGCCCAGAAAAATAACATCTGTCACTACCTCCATTTCTTCCCCATCTATTTGCCAGGAATTGAGAGGGCCGGATGCCATGATTTGGTTTTCTTAATGTTGAGTTTCAAGCCAACTTTTGCACTCTCCTTCTTCACCCGCATCAAGAGGCTCTTTAGTTCCTCTTCACTTTCTGCCATTAGAGTGGTATCATCTGCATATCTTAGGTTGTTGATATTTCTCCCGGCAATCTTAATTCCAACTTTGGTTCATCTAGCCCTGCCTTTCTCATGATGCGCTCTGCATATAAGTTAAATAGGCAGGGTGACAGTATACAGCCTTGCCGGACTCCTTTCAAATTTGAACCAATCGTGGTTGCGTGTCCAGTTCTCACCGTTGACTTCTTGACCCGCATATAGGTTTCTCAAGAGAACAAACAGATGGTTGGTATTTGCCCACTCTTTAAGAATTGCCACAATTTGTTGTGACCACAAATCAAAAGGCTTAGCTAGTCAATGAAGACAGGAGTAGATGTTTTTCTGGAAACTACCTAGATTTATCAGATCACAGCGTAATGTGGCAATTGGATTCTATAGTTCTCGACCTCTTCGAAATCCTGCCTGTAATCTCGAGTTCTCGATCCACATAATTGCTGGAGTCCTAGCGTGTAGGAGTTTAAGCAACATACTAGCATGTGAAATGAGTGCAATGGTACGATAGTTTGAACATTCTTTGGCATTGCCTTTCTTTGGAATTGGAATGTAAACTGACCTTTCCAATCCTGTGGCCACTGTTGAGTTTTCCAAATTTGCTGGCAAATTGAGTGTAGCACTTTTTCTGCATCGTCTTTTAAGATTTTGAATAGCTCAACTGGAATACTGTCACCTCCAATAGCTTTGTTGTTGCTCAGCTTTCCTAAGGCCCATTTCACTTCACATTCTAGGATGTCTGGCTCGAGGTCAGTGACCACTCCATCGTGTTAAGCTCATTCTTGTATAGTTCTTCTGTGTAGTTTTGCCATCTCTTCTTAATCTCTTCTGCCTCTGTTAGGTCCCTGCCATTTTGGTCCTTTATCATGCCCATCTTTGCATGAAACGTTCCCTTCATATCTCCAATTTTCTTGAAGAGATCTCTGGTCCTCCCTATTCTGTTGTTTTCTTCTATTTCTTTGCACTATTCATTTAAGAAGGTCATTCTTATCTCTTCTAGCTATTCTCTGGAATTCTGCATTCAATTGGGTGTATCTTTCTCTTTCTCCTTTGCCTTTCGCTTCCCTTCTTTCCTCAGCTATTTGCAAAGCTTCCTCAGACAGCCATTTTGCTTTCTTGCATTTCTTTTTCTTTGGGATGGTTTTAGTTGCTACCTCTTGTACAATGTTGCGAACTTCCATCCATAGTTCTTCAGGCACTCTGTCTATCAGATCTAATTCCTTAAATCTATTTGTCACCTCTACTGTATATTCATTAGGAATATGATTTAGTTCATACCTGAGTGGCCTAGTGCTTTTCCCTACTTTTTTCAATTTAAGCCTAAATTTTGCAACGAGTAGCTCATGATCTGAGCCACAGTCAGATCCTGGTCTTGTTTTTACTGACTGTATAGAGCTTCTCTGTCTTTGGCTGCAGAGCACATAGTCAATCTGATTTCTATGTTGACCATCTCGTGATGTCCATGTGTAGAGCCGTCTCTTGGGTTGTTGGAAAAGAGTGTTTGTTATGACCATTGTATTCTCTTGACAAAATTCTATTAGCCTGTGCCCTGCTTCATTTTGTACTCCAAGGCCAAACTTGCCTGTTATTCGGTTATCTTTTGGCTTCCTACCTTAGCATTCCAATCCCCCATGATGATAAGGACATCATTTTTTGGTGTTAATTCTATAAGGTGCTGTAGGGCTTCATAGAACCGGTCAATTTCATCCTCTTCAGCACCAGTGGTTGGGGCATAGATTTGGACTATTGTGATATTGAATGGTTTGCCTTGGATTCGAATTGAGATCATTCTGTCATTTTGGGGATTGTATCCCAGTATTGCTTTTCCTATTCTTTTATTGACTATGAAGGCTACTCCATTTCTTCTGAGGGATTCTTGCCCACAGTAGTATACCTGATGGTCCTCTGAGTTAAATTCACCCATTCCTGTCCATTTTAGTTCGCTGATTCCTAAGATGTCGATGTTCAGTCTTGTCATCTCTTTTTTGACTACGTCTAGCTTGCCTTGATTCATGGATCTTACATTCCAGGTTCCTATGGAGAAAAAATCTTTACAGCATCGGACTTTCCTTTCACCACCAGATATATCCACAGCTGAGCGTCCTTTCGGCTTTGGCCCAGTCGCTTCATTCTTTCTGGCACTACTGGTACTAGCCCTCTGCTCTTCCCCAGTAGCATATTGGACACCTTCCGACCTGAGGGGCTCATGTTCCAGCGTCATATCTTTTTGCCTTTTAGTACTGTCCATGGGGTTTTCATGGCAAAGATACTGGAGTGGTTTGCCACTTCCTTCTCCAGTGGATCACATTTTGTCCGAACTCTCTGCTATAACCTGTCCATCTTGGGTGGCCCTGCACGGCATAGCTTATAGCTTCATTGAGTTACGCAAGCCCCTTCGCCACGACAAGGCAGTAATCCATAAGGGGGGATACGATGTTAAGAAAATATAAATTAAAGAAATAAAAATAATACTTTCTAAACTACAGAAAAAACCAGAGATTAGAAAACCTATTGTAATCAGGAATTCAATGATAAAATCAATAGTTCAGCTTTTAAAAATTTAATTATCCTATAAAACATATTTTACAAGGACAATCTGTTTGGCAAGAACACTCTTCCAGGACAAGAAACCAGATTTGTATGAGTGTCTTACATTATAAAAAAGGCCGATGTCAGTTAATTAGTCAAGATATTAAATTAACTACTGATTTACAGGAAGAAATATTTTTTCAATGAAATATATACTTTCTAACGCTCCATGTTTTGATAGTTTATGTTTATGTTTATGTATGTATGTATGTGTGTGTGTGTGTATATATATATATATATATATATATATATATATATATATATATATATATATATATATATATATATATATATATATATATATATATATATACACACACACATACACATACATACATACATAAACATAAATATCCAATCAGAGCACAGCCAAGCCCCTAACCAATCAGAACCCACCTCCACCCAATCAGAACACAGCCAAGCTCCCATCCAATCAGTTCATACCCCCACTAGCAGTTAAAAGGAAGAAACAGCTACGATCACACATTGCTCCTAGAAGCAAGAAGCCGAAAACACCAGCCTGAAGATGACGAATGGAACTTCCTTGAAATGTCGCCAAAACACTTCCAATTTGACGTGGGAGAAAACCCGAATAACCAAAGACCTACATACAAACACCCGCGAAAACCTCAGAAACAAATATGTATGTATGTATGTATGTGATATCTGTAAACATATGATTCCTGGGTATATTCATATTAAAATAAATAACTCACAAACACCAGGAAAATCCAATGAAAAACTTTTAATAAAACCTAGCTTTCGTCGGAAGCTTCCGACATCGTCAGGGTTGGGGCTAGTTGACGGGAGCAACCTATAGGTTAGGCAGCCTATAGGTTAGGCAGCCTTATATAGATTGCTCCCGTCGACTAGCCCCAACCCTGATGATGTCGGAAGCTTCCGATGAAAGCTAGGTTTTATTAAAAGTTGTTCATTGGATTTTCTTGGTGTTCGTGAGTTATTTATTTTAATATATACATATACATATATTATATATATATATGTATGTGTGTATGTGTGTGTGTGTGTATGTATGTGTATATATATATATATATATATATATATATATATATGTGTGTGTGTGTGTGTGTGTATATATATATATATGCCTTTGCAAGTACATTTTAAATTCAATATCCTGTTTAAATAGATTCTGAATTTGGCTGTGGCAAATGGGATAAATATAAATATATTTGTATGTATATCATTTCCTGTAATGAGTCAGAAAACTTTCAATGTACACTTGACTTTTGTACTTTTAGCCTGAGAAAAAAGTACTACAACTACAACCTCTACTGTTATCAGAATATAGAAAGATCTGTTGTGTTACTAAATCTGCTTTGTCATATTTTATTCCCTGTTGGGGAATTTTAGACCAAAATTGTTTTTGTTTTCTTACCTACTACCGCTCATTCATCTGGCCTGGGCAGTTAATGTCTGTTTACACTCTAAATCAAATACAATGAATGTGTATAAAATAAATGGATACAAAACCTTATGTGAGGGTAGCTAACATTCCAAACTATATATATGCTTTATTCCTTACCATCAAAGTTCTTGTACTGGGCTGTGAAGATTATTTGTACTGATCGTGTGGCCTCCTTCAACATGCCTTCAAATTCACTCCTGCTCTTGTTGGCAAAGTTCTCCTCCATTTCACTAGTACAGCAAGTATAACCTTGTGGGCAAATTCTCAAATGTTCTCCTGGTGGATGGGAAAAAAGAGAAAAATCGGTAAGTAGGTAAATCTTGTGAAATAAAAATGAGTAATCAGAGGGCTTTGTGACACTTTAAAGGTTAAACCAACTTTATTATTACTGAAACTGTCATGGATGACATCTGTTTCATTAGATGACTGGAGTAAGTTCCTGTGGAAAAGTTTTAATAAATAAATGCAATTGAATGAAAGTGGGGGGGAGGAGGGGGGGACAGTGACAATAGGCAGGATTGCTTTGAGGGATGGGAAACACAGAAATAAGTTGCTTAACTTTAATAAACAAAGTCTTACTCATCAAAATAAGTAAAACACTGCAGCTCTCCAGGCCAGAAATTCTTTTATTGCATGAGATTTATAATCCTGAGGTTTATATACATAGTTTATGGAGTCTGGCAGAACAGAGAATAGGAAGGGTAAACAGGGAAAATAAGAGATGAAATACAGTGCGGCTTTGGAAATGACAACATGTGAAACAATTGTTAATGTTTGATGTGGATAATTTATATAATGGTTACCATTAAAAGAGTTTTTACTATTGAGTGCGTGTATATGGAAGATATTATACACAATAGAAATTCAGAAATTAAAAATGAAGAGCAAACACACCTCATACTCCTCCTGTTCCCTTGCTGACAGGACTGCACAAATAAAATTATGCCTTGCAAATGGTATCTTTTCCAACCCTGCCCTAAGATAATTTAGTTTCAAAGAAGACAAAGATGATGTGATTTTAGAGCCATTGCACAATCCTGAAGATGCTTTTAGAAGAGAACTGTCACAGCATAAACTGAAACATATGTTTTGTTTTGTCTTGTCTGGTTCCTAAGCAGCCTTTCAAATGGGAATGAGGCCATCAGAACCCATACACATTCCTCCTAGCCTCTTCCTTTCAGCACTGGGAGCCTTAGGGCTTGCATTCTTGGAGACATGATGAATCTGCTATGGTCTGTAATTCACTGTGTAAACTGTGGAGCTGGAGAAAATATTGTCAGTGATATTTCAGATAGGTTAGGTAAGTGTTTCTCAACCTTAAGAACTTTAAGACCTGTGAATTTCAACTTCAGCTCCCAGAATTCCCCATCCAATCATGTCAACATATCTTTAAAGCTGCCGAGATTGAGAAACAATGGCTTAAACAGATAAGCATAAGAGGTCATAGCTAATGTCTGCTAGAATCTTTTCTCAATAGGACACCATGCTACAGGATACATGGCTATCCATCTCTATAGCTCTATGACTTCTTCCTGGCATTACGTGGCTTAGCCAGGGAGATTCTTTGTGGTACTTTTTCTGGAACTGTAGGGACCTCCTGGAAAAGCATAAGATTTGTTCTGACTCACAGGAGTCGCATGGCCCATAACATGCTGCAGAATTTTCTTCAAAGACTTCCTTCACTATTTAAAAAAAAATCTTTTTGAATTAATATTTTTATTTAAAAAATACATAGGTTGCTAAAAGGCTTCCCTAGAAATAAATCAATTATAAAAAGGTATATGAATGGAATGGTTTTCTTCCAGTGGTTTGTTGGAAGAAAGCCAATTTCCCCCTTCTGCCTTCAGTCTACTGAACAGATGTAAACAAGGTGGTAGAGAGCATCCTAAGGGACTAAAATGCAGGCAGGGAGCAGATTCATCTGGTATACAAATGATTGTGATTAGTCATTCCTCCAAAAAACAGTCATTTTCCTGACAGGCAAATTCCATCAATAATGGCAGCAATTTTGTGAGAATGCCTATATCATAATTTTAAATTTAAGTTATCATTGTATTCATTGGCTCAGAAATATTATTTATCTCTGCTGTTTACTGTTTTGGATTCTAGAAGCATCTGACAATGTGACTCTTAACATGTGGAGGATTATGGCTTTTAAGAAAACACGCTAGTTTGAAAAGATGTTACGAGACTCCTCCTAATTTTTCTCATTCCTAAGAAGAATCAAAATCCTCTACCTCATAAGGAACATTGGGGATAAATATTATTTTAATGACTGATAAATGGTAATAAAATGAGGAAAAAGTATAGATGGAGAAAAAAAACGAGGTTAAAAATTTCCATCAAGATACAGCTCACCGATTTCAAATACACTATCAAAAATTCATCAGTGTTTCTTATGGTAATAGGACTATACAGGCTTTTGCAAATATAGTTGCAAAACTGATCTTGAAAAAGAGACAATAGCCTTTAAGTCTGTCAATAGATGGAAGTGGCAGAGATGTGTGTTTCCAATTCAAATCAATTTGTCCTCATTCCTTATTTTTGAAAAAAAGAAAAACAGGAATGTTTTATTTTAGTCCTATTCCTTATTTTTGAAAAAAAGAAAAACAGGAATGTTTTATTTTAGTATTAACTAGCAGATTGCTGGATTTCAATTACAACTAACTTTATTTTCAACTAACTTTATTTTCAAGTTACCAAACAACAGGGTTACGTCCAGGGTATACTAACCAGGGCATCTCATGTATTGCCTTTGTGGGCATTGCTTCCAAATATTTGTTATTTTAGACACTGCTATTCAATGAGGAACCTTTTCAGAGCCATTATCAATGTAAAATGCCTGCTGCACGCACACATGGGGATGCATGCGTTCATGTGTATGTTCGTCCGCCATTTACGTGGTCCAGTTGCAAACAGCTCACAGCCCACTAGTTGTCATGCCTCCATCTGAGCCTGAATCGGAAGAGGAAATGGAGCCGGAACAGGACCCTATCAAGGCCCAGGAGATGTGTTTGTGGCTTTGGAGCACTGTAGGGAGGAGCAGGCTGAGGCAGGCCAGGGCCCTTCAGGTTTTGAACAGGGGAGACAGAGATCAGGAGAGGAGCAAGGGCCACCCCCACCTGATCCTAGAGCTAGGAGAGTGGAGAGGAGGAGGGAACAATGCAGGCAGGCTCACTTGCTTGGGAGGAGAGCGTCCCACCCCACCACACAAGGCACACTTGGGGATTGAGATATAAGGAACCGCTGTGAGGTAGGGACTTTGTCGGGAACAAACATTGAATCTTGAGAAAGTGTGTATTGTTGCTCTTGTTCTGTGCCTTTGGAAAACCTGGACACCTTGACGACTAGACCGGCTGACCACGTGGATTTCCTGAATTAGAACCTCAGACTGCATTTTGACTTTTCTCTTTGCAAAGAGGCAAGCTGAGATTCAAGTGGACTCATTAAGTTGACGTTTTGTTTTGTTTGTTATCTTTATGGCCTTGAGGACATTTATATAATAATCATACTGTATTGAAACTGCCTTCAAGGAAGGTGAGTGTGTGAATTTGGGTTGGAGGCTTGCCAGCAAATATGGGAGCATTTGGAGGAAATTTGCAACCATTAAAGAACTGTTTACATTGCCAGCTGTCTACATTGCCTTTGTGCTGTGCCCTGGCTCATCACACTAGTGGGCCATGGCCCAGTGTTTGGGGACCCCTGTTTTAAGGCACCAGACTAGAAATCAGGAGACTGAATTATAGTCCCATTTTAGCCATAAAAGCCAGTTGGGTGACCTTGGCCCTATCAGTCTCTTTTAGCCCAACTCACTTCACAAGATTGTTATGTTGGGGAAAACAGGAGGAGGAAGGTGTGTTGGATATGTTCGCTGCCTTGAGTTATTCATAAGAATAATAAAAGGCAGGATACAAATTAAACAAATGAACAAATAAATAGAAATAGCTAACATATCCAATCAAAGCTAGTCACAGTTATTGGCTTAGCAGCTAATTAGCAAATTTATCTTTAAAACAGACTACACAATAGGACAATTTGTTTATATTATTAAACATTTCTTCCAAATCATTTAGGAGAGTATAAATGTGGCATTGGATATTATAGCATTGCAATCTGAAAATAAGCCAAAATGTCACATTTTTCTTTGCAATATTCACTGCATTCTTGGTTTTGATAATTTGACTTTTTTAAATTTCTCCTTTGATGTAGTGGTATTTTAATGTGGAAAAACTGGGTAACTGTTGGTGATGCTGCTGGTGGTAGTGTGTGCTTTTTCAGCATGCAATCTACCAGACTGGTAGCAGCTTTTGCACTGGGATCACAGCCAGGATCTCACAATGATTAACAGTCAATGATCCGAGAGGCAGGGCAACTATTTCCATTTCCAAGGCCACAGCTGACTAAGCAAAAAAGCTATGCTGATTGGAATGAAAATTTCTGAGAGCAATATAATGAAAGGATTAACAAGAAAGAATCACAGGTATAGGAGGGGAAATAGTTCTCCTAACCACAGATTTCCTCTGCATGTATAACATTTTGCTCATACGGCTTGCATTTAGGGCAGGAAATCAGACAGAAAGCAGCTAAAAAAATTCATTGGCAAGTGGGCCACATTTTCCTCTCCCAAATAACACAATTTGACATAAGGAATGCCAGAGGGGTTTATTTCAGAAATAGCTATAACCAGCATGACCAAACCTCACTTATTTTTGCAAAAATCTAAGCCCTATTATAGTAATATGAGATACTGATGCTGATTGTCAGAGTTGGATTTTATTCACAAATTATTATTGAGCCAACTGATACTCAACAAGCATACACTAGCAAAAAAAATAGTTTAATACTAATTTTGTCACTGAGCAGTTCCATTTAGTGACATTAACTATGGCTTCCCTTGACAGAGAGATATTACTTAAGTAGCTTAGAATTGTGGCATTTACAAATTAAACAAAATAAAAGTGGGTCTTGCAAACCACAATTACCTCTTCAACCCACTGAGTGATCTGCACAAGTTCAGATAATAGGTAGTGGGACTCAGAATTCTATGGGATTAAGAAAAAAGAAGAAGAAAGAAACCAGAGAAGCCACGTGTTTTGAGTAACCAGCTGGAGCTTCTGATTTCATGGGATATAAACTAAAAGGTGCTTGATTTTCCCCTGTGGGTAAATAGAGGCTGCTTCAGGAAATAAGAGGCAGCCTATCTCCAGCAGCAAACTCACTGAGCAGGCTAAGAGGAATCCAAGAGCACTAAAAGATTAAAAAATAACCATCTTTTA